TAGCAATTGTACTTATTTACGATGTTGCTCTGTGTTGATCTTGATGTTTGTGATTTCAGACAACAATATTTGGTTCTTAATCACATAGATTGGTAATGAACAGTTCCATTTTTTCTTCTAAAATTCATTGATGAAAGAAGTTAAAACATAAAAGCTAGAATGACTGTCTTAGATGGCATGATATCTTGATCAATATGTTGAATTTAGAGCTAGCCCTAAAATTATAGTTGTTCTCGATGTGATTGTTGTTATTGTTTAATTAATACCAAATTATTACATGTATTATCCTATGAATCTTGCTACCTACGATCAATAAACAAGGTTGTGAATTACTTTGTTTTATTTATAATATTTAATTAATTAAAATATTAATTTACATGTATTATTCTCTTATCATAATTAACAATATCTCTGTTATTAAGAATCCGAGATTATTTAAATAGTCTACATTCCAAAATGAATATACTCCTTTACACTTATGCGGTCAAGAAATATCATATTATGGATTCTGATGACGAATGGATAAAATTGAAGAAGTTGGTTGTTGTCCAAGTACATATGAGGAATGTGAAAAGTGTAGTGGCTTGGTAGTTCCTATTTTTATCTCACATAATGAAATTTACATTGAAAAAAAAAATCCCTAAGAGAGCGATATTTGATAGATTTTTATTCTAAAAGGAAAAATGTATATCATCTGGCCTATGCAAGTGAAGTAACTTGTTATGATTAGCTTAGAATGTATAGGAGCTCTTTTAGGAAGTTATGCACTATGCTTCAAAATGTAGGACTAAATGATACAAAAAATATGTTGGTAGACGAGCAAGTAGCAATGTTTCTACATATCCTCACCCACCATGTGAAGATCAGAGTCATAAAACAAATGTTCCAATGTTCAGGGGAAACTATTAGTCGGCATTTTACTCATGTGTTGCACGCCGTGATACGTCTACACGATATTTTGATTAAGAAACCCAAGTCAATGCCGTTTGACTCAACAGATGCGATGTGGAAATGGTTTAAGGTAATCTACAATATAAGTAGCATTTGTATTTATCAATTTTTATAAGTAAACTAACACATTAAATTTTTCCAAATGTCTAGAATTGTCTTGGAGCTTTAGATGAGACTTACGTAAGGGTGAGGGTAGTTATGGAGGAAAAATCTAGGTATTAAACACGAAAGAGTGAAATTGCTACAAATATTTTAGGTGTATGTTCTCAAGACATGCGGTTCATATATACACTACCCGGTTGGGAAGGGTCAACTGCTGATAGTAGAGTCCTTCGAGAAGTAATAACTAGAAGAAATGGGTAAAAATCCCATGTGGTATATTACTTATAATTTATACTTCATTTTGGTTTATAATCATTAACTCCACTGGTATTTAATAAATACATTTTGACATGTCTACTCATAGGTTATTATTATCTAGTTAATGCTGGATACACAAATTATGAAGGTTTTCTTGCCCCATATAGAGGTCAATGATACCACTTGAAAGAATGGAGAGACGGACACCAGTCAACAACTATGCATGAGTTTTTCAACATGAAACATACATCGACTAGGAATGTTATTGAGAGATGTTTTGGATTGCTTAAATTAAGATGAGGAATCTTACACAGTCTATCATTTTACCCTATAAAGATCCAAAATCAAATAATCATGGCATGTTGTCTTCTACATAATTACATAAGGAGAGAAATGAAGATTGATCCATTTGAAGATGCTCTTGACGTTATAGAGGAAACAACTCAAATGGCTAATAATGATTTAATCACCAAAATTGAAACTACAACAGCTTGGACTTTATATTGAAATAACCTCGCAAATTTGATGTATAACCAGTGGATAGGGAAAACTACAACAGCTTGGACTTCATATCGAGATAACCTCACAAATTTGATGTATGACCAGTGGATAGGGGAAGAAGAGTAGCTTATCCGAGGATATCATTGATGATATGATATGACCTCTATTTTATTAGTTAGTATTCAAGTATATGTTATCATGTTGTTTTAAAATTGTTTGACATTTATTTTAATTAGAATTAACATTATTGTGCTTTTTTGGTTACTGGACTCATTTTAAAGCAATCTTCAGTATACATGACTCTCATAAATCATTATACTTGCTACAAACCAAAAGATTTGCTTACTTTCATAAATCATCAAAGCAAGACTTATTTAAAAACTATCGTGATGATGTGAATGTGCAAATTATTATATGGTTTATAAACTATTCAGGAATGGATCAAGAAGATCAACGATTACCTGGAAAGAATAAGCGAACATGGATAGTTGAGGAAGACCAGAAGTTGGTTGATGTATTGTTGGAGTTACACCAAACTGGAAAGTACAATGCCGATCGTGGTTTTAAGCCTAGACACTATAATATTGTTGAGAGGTTACTTGCCATTTTACTTACCAATTTGGGGTTAAAGGTTGATCCGCATATTAGATCAAGAATGAAAACTCTTAAGACGCAATTTAGTATTGTGTTTGATATGCTCAACTACAGTGGTTTTGGATGGGATGAAACGAAGCAATGTGTAACTACTGAAAAAGCAGTATGAGATGAATATCTAAAGGTATTTAGTTATTCAAATTTTAATCTAGCATGCTAATTTTATTACATCCAGTATCTTCTTAATTAATGACTATTGATTTTTTAAATGAATTTAATTGCAGACCTACAAAAATGTTACACAATTCAAGGAGAAAGCTTTTCCACACCTTGATACCTTATCTATTGTGTTTGGTACGAATTGAGCGACATAAAAGGGAATGGAACACCTATATGATGTTATAGAAGAACTTGATAGGTTGGCTGACTATGATACTGATGCTGATGATATACATGAGTCACATTCTCAAGAGGTAATACCTGAGAACACGGTGAAGCTTCCTCCAAGCATAAAAAGAAGAGACAGTTATCGGGGGATAGCGAGTCATTCGAGATAATGAGGGAATCTTCTGCAAATGTAGGAAGTGAACTTTTTAGGCCGAGCTAGTTAATTAAGGATGGATTAGATAAAGTGGCTTTGACTAAAAAGAGAAAGAGGTTTATTGAATACGTAATGAATATGAAGTTACCTATGGAGCAATGTTTGACAGCGATAGGGGCGATTGGTACTAACTGTGAGTTGCTGGATTTGTTCTTCACAATCAGTGATGATTTGAAGAATATATGAGTGAGCCGATATGCAAGTGCGCAATTTTAGATTGGCAATTTAGGCTAGTATATCATTTTGCTATTTCAAAACTTATTATTTTAGTTGGTATTGTTTTATGGATATTTTTTTATTATGATATGGGTGATTTTGATACTTTATTAAATAAGTTAATTTATATATTTAGAACTGTGGATTGTGGATATCATTCTTTATATTATTTTTGGACCTATGAAAGATGTGATACTCTTTTATGGATTGTGGATATCATTCTTTATATTATTTTTGGACCTATGAAAGATGTGATACTCTTTTATTTATTTTTCTTTAATTTTTTAAGACTTTTATATTATTTTTGGACCTATGAAAGATGTGATACTCTTTTATTTATTTTTCTTTAATTTTTTAAGACCAAAAAATAGTGAGTATTGTTTAAAAAATATAAACGGAACATACACCTGAGAGATAACATGTGCATTAGTATAAAAAATAGCTTGATTAATATAACCTATGCATAAATAAAATTATTTAGTTATTATCATTAATGTTTATTTTTATCTTATTAAAAATCTATGTTGTTGTAAGGGCATTATTAAAAAAATAAGATTTCATTCTCACTTGTGAACTAGTGAAACCAAATGTGGGAATGGGAGTGGGATTTTTATTTTAGCTTATTCTACAAACGCACAACAAGAGAATGAGAATGATCATTTCATTCTCACATACATTCCATTCCATTCCTTCTTCTATTCCATTCTCATTTGAGTTCATTCCCGCGTTCCAAACGAGGCGTTAAGGGCTTGGCCACCAAAAATCTAACTTGATGTTGAATTATAATCCAACTTAGAGATATCAAGTTCTCTCTCTTTAAATGTCAATCGAAGCTCCTCCCTGCAGTGCACCAAAAAGGAGAATTAAACCAGAGAGCGGTGTTTTCTTTTGAAGCCTTTCTCTCTTTTGTTCCATTGTTTTAGAGAGATTGTATTAGGCTTTTGGGTTTTTATTTGGGATTGAGTGATTAAGAGACCTCTAGTTTGTATTCCTCACTATTTAGTAAATCTTTTCTCCTCCTTTGTCCATGGACGTAGGCTACAAACCGAACCACGTATAGCTTTGTATTTGTGTGTTCTTGATATTTTTCGTGCTCTCGTGTGATTGATATTAGCTTATCCTGTGGATTTTGTCATAACAACCACCTACAAAAATTGAATCAAGTTTTAACTTGGTCCTATTTTGAGATGAATTTTGTTTAATAAAAAATGGGTCAGAATTGGCTCAATATTTTCTGAGCTAAAAAATTCATCAAAATTGGTTCTTTTTTGTTCTTATCCAACCTCTCATAGATCAAAACAGAACCAGGCTTCTCAAAATTAGCAAAACTGGATCAGGATCAGTCCTGACCCAATTTTGAGAGGATTGCCAAATGAAGCTTTAGGATTTATTTATTTAACTACCCTGCCCCCTGCTAACCAGGTCAGCTTAGGATCAATTAAAATCTAGTTTGGCAAAAACTAAAGGAATTGTAGTTTTGTTAGTTCAACATTCCGCCTAACCAGCTTAGAACTATTATATCTCTATTATATCTCTAAGAAATTCAGATAAAAATTAACCTGATTAAGGCCTTAGCTAGCCTAGCATGGAGTTGCCAAACTGAGCCTAAAATCTAAGCACACTCTACTTCTGATAAAGCCACTGAAATTAGTGGAGCGCTCTGCAGCGCGACTATGTCCATCCTTCATCTTGGCCCAGCATTTAAAACTCCCCATCTGCCCCCATTGATTGCCGCTAAAATTTAGCCTTTAAAATGACCCCTTGGGCTCAAACCAAGCAAACAATCTCTTCCCCTTTCAATAGAATCAACACTAGGACAATAATGCCATCCGAACCTCTACCTCCGTTCTCAAGCTCAGTCAAGCTCAAACATGTCAAGCTTGGCTACCAGTACTTGGTCAATCACTTCTTCACCCTTCTCTTAATACCTGTCATTGTAGCCATGGTCATCGAGCTCGTCCGCCTCGGTCCTGACGGGCTCCTGGCCATCGGCCGCCTCCTCCTAAACCTCGACCTCCTCCCCGTCCTCTGCTCCCTCTTCGTCATTGTCTTCTTCGCTACCCTCTACTTCATGTCTCGCCCTCGCTCCGTCTACCTCATCGACTACGCCTGTTTCAAACCTTCGTATAATTGTCGGGTTCCATTCGCTACTTACTTGGAGCACATTAAGCTCCTCCCTTTTTTCAACCAGAAATCCGTCGAGTTCCAGATGCGGATTTTAGAACGGTCTGGCCTCGGCGAGGAGACCTGTCTCCCCGCCACAGAGCCACTACTTACCACCTCGGGGCAACATGGAGGGGGCTCGCCTCGAGGCCCAGCTCGTAATTTTCTCTGCAATGGACGATTTACTCCGTAAAACTGGGCTAAAGCCTAAAGACATCGACATACTGATCGTCAACTGTAGTCTCTTTTCCCCCACGCCGTCCCTCTCGGCGATGATCGTTAATAAGTACAAGCTCCGTAGCAATATACGGAGCTTCAACCTCTCCGGTATGGGATGCAGCGCCGGGCTAATATCCGTCGACCTCGCTCGCGATCTCTTACAGTTGCACGCCAACTCCAACGCCGTTGTTGTCTCCACAGAGATCTTGACGACTAACTACTACAGCGGTAACCAGAGGTCTATGCTACTCCCAAATTGCTTGTTCAGAATGGGGGCAGCTGCGATCCTCTTATCGAACCGCTACAAAGAAAAACGTCGAGCCAAGTACAGGCTGGTTCAGGTCGTTCGAACCCACAAAGGGGCCGACGACCAAGCCTACCGCTGTGTGTACGAGGAGCAAGACGCAGCGGGGAACTCGGGCATCGCCCTACAAAAAGATCTGATGACAGTCGCCGGTGAAGCTCTAAAATCGAATATCACAACAATTGGGCCTTTAGTGCTCCCAGCTTCAGAACAGTTATTGTTTCTGTTAACGCTTATCGGTAGAAAGCTCATAAACCCCGGATGGAAACCCTACATTCCTGATTTCAAGCAGGCGTTCGAGCATTTCTGCATTCACGCAGGAGGGAGAGCGGTGATCGACGAGCTTCAGAAGAGCCTGCAGCTGTCGGCGGAGCAGGTGGAGGCGTCGAGGATGACGCTGCATCGGTTCGGGAACACGTCGAGTAGCTCGCTCTGGTACGAGCTCAACTATATCGAGGCCAAAGGGAGGATGAAGAAGGGGGATAGAGTTTGGCAAATTGGGTTTGGGAGTGGGTTTAAGTGCAATAGTGCAGTTTGGAAGTGTATGAGGAGTGTGAAAACGCCGGTTGAAGGGCCGTGGCAGAGTTGCATTCATAGGTATCCAGTTGAGATCCCGGAGATTGTTAAATTGTGAGAGTAATGCTAGTGATCGTATTGTTTAGGGTAAATTTCACAAAACTTCCCAAGAAGATTGGCTCATTTTAAAATAACCCCACAGACGATGAAATGGGACTTCTAGCTCCCAAAACTTTTCTGGATAATCCCAGAAGATTTTGGGGTAATTTGAAAACAGATTCAGAAAAATGCAAAAGTTTTTGGGGTTAAATGACACTGACAAAATCTTTTTGGGTTACATCAAAATTGGCGAATTCTTTGGGGTTTTTTGAAAAAATTATCCCATTGCTTATTTATTTTTAGTATTGTTATGGGATTAAGTAGCTTACTGTATTATAGGTGTTTGTGACCTTCATGTAGTGAATTGAATTTGAATGTGGCCTTAATTTATAGCTTGTGAGGAACATGATCACTGTTCCTGGATTTGGATTGGAAATGAATAAATTATGTGTTAATTTGTTTCCTTACAGTCTGATTTCTCATTAAATTCTTTTCTCCTTTTTCTGACTTTGGACTTAATTGACTGTTGTCATATTCTTAGAGTTGTATCTTTCCATTGTTGAATAAATTCAAAATTCCTGTTGAAACGTCATTGGTTTAAAACAGCAAAAATAAACATTTATCTCTCACAGACACAAAATTTACCAAAGCTTCATTTTCTTCTTCCAAAAATTACCTTATTAGTATTTTAGCACCCTGAACTATTTAAAAGGGCATGTACTTGTCATTGTTTTATGAGAAATTCCCTTATTTCTATAAATATTCTATATTTTAGAAGAAACTATATAAATCGCTAATTTATTTTTTAAAATTTACAATAGAAATATAATATAATTACTGAAATGAAGTAACAAACAAGAAAAATGTCCAAAAAAAGTAAAAGTAGCACAAATTGAGTATCTTGTGTGCATTGAAAATGTTTTCAATATTTGATTCGATGTTTTTGTCAGAATCAGCTTTTTAAATAGCGGCCCGCCTTTATGGAAATATTTACGAAAACTTTATACCGAGCAATTTGGGGGAAGTCTTTTCTGATATTGAATGACTGCGGAGGCTGAGCATATTACCTGCCAACGAAATTTATTGGCACTTATTGTTTACTTTTTGAATGAGCTCACACAATATACTTATCCGTGCATAATGGTACCAGTATCCATTTCAGTTAGGATATAAATATGATTACTATTAAAATTTATAACTGATAGGATATAATTATAATTATGGATAAGGTTATGTAGTAAAATATCTTAATCCATATCAGAAATATCAGAATATATGTTGATCATACAGTTGCAATTATTTTTTGGTTTGGCGAGGGAACTTCCCCACGATCCTTCGTCCCATGGGTATCAAACCCTTAGGCGTGGGTAAATGACACCCCAAACACACAACCTAAGGTATTCCACGAAATTAAATTCTTGTTGGCGCTACCAAGAAAAGTTAAATGTGTTACATTGGAGTACTACTCATAACTCGGCTAGACTCCCTTGGACGACAGTTGCAATTATTTTAATCCTATTAGATTAATGAATTTGAGAATAGTTTTTATGATCAAAAGATTTAATCTTAACTTTTTAGATGTAACGAACATATTAATGAACTCTCTTGTATCATACAAACTATATTTCTTTTTATATTATTTAGTTTTCTCATATCCGTTTAGTATCCACATGTATATTTATATATGTATCAGCATGTTCTATATCCGTATCTAAATTTAGCGTACATGAATATGAGTTTTTCTTACTGAGATATATTTGTATATGGATCCATATCTATATTCATAAATGTCAAGAAAATATAGATATAATAAATATAATATTTAAGCTATGCCCGTGTGT